GCATAAAAAGGTGATAATCATCAGGTTGTTGTGTACAGAAGATCTGTTAAAGTAATGCTTCTTTTTTAACCCTAAGCGTAAATATTTTTTTTAATTACCCTAAACTGTTACTGAAAAGAGCTTTTTTTGTTCAACATCATGAAGTTTACGTTTTAAACCCGTCTCTGAAATTTCTAAAGGTTAGCAATTATAACTTCCCTCTCATTCGGTTAGAGGTAAGTTATTATGTTAAAGTAGGAAAAGGGCAAATAGCGCCAAAGCGATATCAACACATGCTAGGTGGCTGCCTTCTAAACGCATCGTCTGCAGATGATATGAGAAGTTCAGAACCAGAATTAAGTTCTTGAAAAACCTGCTTCAATGCTGTCCGAAAAGAGTTACAAAAAGATACAGATGAAAATCTCGTTGGGAAGAATTTGGAAGTGCCAACAAGGAGAATATTGAAAACACAGTAATGCACCCCACGTGACTGCTTCTCAAGATGTGATCACGACTATTAAAGTGGAAAAATCCTGTAAATAAACCTCCATAAACTCAAAGAAGACCAGAAGCCAGTATTTCTCAGCTTATCAAATGATGCTTTTGAGTATTAAATAAACATTTTTTTAGTCTGCACAATGTTTCCAGCAAAAAACGAACCTAAATTAACCAGAAAAAACCCGTAAAACTGGGTTGGCTGACTGATTTTTGCTTTTTCCCTTTTTTTTTTTGCAGGAAGGTGGCGGTCAGTGTTTGAGGGAACGCGCGGTAAGATTAACCAGTTTTCGTTGCATAGAATACGGCAAATAGTAACGTGATCAACACGTGTGGTAAACGGAGTAGGACAGAAAACTGAGAATATTGATCAAAATATTCTTCCTTATCCGTCGTAACCTTGTAACCTTCCTAATGTTCATTTATTCAGCCATTTAGATAATTTTTTATGAAAAAAATACTTTGAAAAGATTTCTATCAATAACACTTTTGTTAGTGTTAGAGTTTTCCTGCTTCAAAAATTTGAAAAAATGAAATTTTAAATTAATTTTTGATTAATAAAAAATTGCTTAACTTTGATTTAAACTGCTTGTTACGAAGCTACAAAACTCAAATACTTTAAGGTGTGCACAAGCAGTTTGTGTCGTAAAAGCAACATATATATAGTGATGAACTATTTCTACTGTTACCTGCCGTTTTTGAGGTAATTGATGAGTAATAACAAAAAAGCTAGAAAGTTAAAAAAAGTGTTTAGAACGATAGACCTATTTTTCAAAGTACACAAATGGTGCTCAAAAAGGTATATCCTCTTTCCCAGTAATTTTGCAAGTGTGTCTACTCTCCTTCACCTTAAAAGTAACATAGATTAAAAATTCAACGCAGCTTGTTTACCAGCGCGAGAAGCAAATAACATCTGTCGTACGAAGCGGGCAGCATGCCTTTTTACGCTTCAGAAGGACTTGTTTTTGGAATAGCAATTGTCAAGATCAAAAGAATCAGCTTCACTTTTTTGGATGATTTCCTTGAAGCGCAAAAACAATACTTCTAAATTTATTTGTTGACAATGGGCGGTCTAAGCCTGTTACTCAAATAAACATTTTAAATTAATGATTTATTTGAACCGTAACTAACCACGTATGTTTCTCTGATTCCTAAAATTCCATTGCTGTAGCTCAATGTCTTCAAGTTTTCTGAAATACTGCGAAAGGCGCAGTTATTGGAAAAATTAATTTATATAAACAAAACAGCGCCAGTGAGAGAATGGCCGTCAAAGCCAATAGCAGGACATAGCATGTAAATGAGAATAATGGTTGAAGAAGACGAAGAAAGTGCATTTTGAAGAAGCTGCAAAATTCGATAAAACCTGCATTTCAACGAATCGTCAATGTAATCCTGTATAAAGATAGTTTTAATAAACCTGAGAGTTACTTAACAAGAACGCTTAACAAAACTACAGTATCAACTTGAAAATTAAGTATCTGCTTCGAAATTGAGGTTATTAGATGACACGACGCCACACTACGCAATTATCAGGGGTAGTTGTTGTAACAATGAATATTTATTTCATCTATAAAATGACGGTAATTCTACCTAGCTCATTCAAACCAGACCTCGTAAAAGAAAACATCTCAATGATAAACCAGTTTCTTGAGCAAATGTTGGGAAAGTTTAAAACGTGTTTTGAAACCCTAGCCTAAACTGTTTAATTCTATTTTGATTGTAACTTGCTTGCGACAACTGAGCTGTTGCACTTTTTGATATGACGTTTTGAGTACTGCTGTAACTGACTGTTGGTTGCAATCTCTTGAAACCTACATATTTGTATTGATAAGGCTTACCATTTTTTCTTTTTCGTCTCATTAAAAGTGCTTCATCATTCTTCTTTGAATTCAAAAAACGAAACTGCTGCTTCTTTTTATGAATGTTGTATTATGTTTTTTTTTCGACGGTTAATATTTACGTTTTTGAGTTGCGTTCTGATGAAAGAATCGTACTTTGATAGCAGGAGTCACAGCAGTAAAGAAGAAGAAAAATGGAAGCCGGATTTACTGCCGCCTTTTCTATCTTTAGTAATACCTAATTTGTTTCACTATTAATAAAGGTTTAGAGGCTAACAACAATATATGAAAAATTTATTCGTGGCTTATCGTCACAGCTCATCTTATTGTCTTATATTTCATGTCTACTTTAGTTCCTGTTGCTGCTAGAATGCCAAAGCGATTTTTTCAACAATAATAATGTTGACTAGACAATAATCTGAATACTGTAAGTTTAACACTAAAGTAAATAGTGAAAAGGTTCCAATGTGAAATTATTTTGAGGAGCATCTTGTTGGTTGAACATTGCCAAAAAAATTATAAGGTAACGATGAAAATATAAAAAATTTTTTTCTACTGCTACATTTTCAATTCGTTAAAACATTACCTTTGGCAGCTAGATCAGATTACGAAACTCTTCTTGAACGTGATCTTTCAGCTAACAAAGTCAAAAATTCTAGTCAGCAACACAAAACATCTTTCCATCTATTATAAAAGCTGTATAAAGTCATTCGTAAAAGACAAGTTTACTTAATTTAGGTCTAGTTTAGTATGAAGATAACAGGTACACATAGCGACAAAAAGGTTTGCACTTCTAACATTTATTTGGACATTTTTACTGTCTTCCTATTTTCAGCACTTGTTTAGCATATTAAGCTGAAGTGCTGAACCTACGATCTACAGCTACCAAGCTGAAAGACTTTTACAGAGTTAGATTACAACAATGTGACAGTTATTTGTATACTGTTATCAAAGTAACAATAACACTACAGACAACTCCCGTTATTCCTTGAAAGAATTTTTTGCCACTTTACCTTATGTCTCTAAGCAAAACTTGCAAGGCAAGCATTGGCGTAAGCTCACAAACTAGTCTATAAGCTGTGGAAAAAAGGTCAATTTGACACGTTGCTCAGTCGTTTTCCTTAAAGGTACAATTCGATTTTTAAGAAACAGTATCAAAAGCAAGCATTGGTACACAGCTTACTGTACCAAAAGCCAAGCAAAGTTTGCCGGACAGAAAAAAATATTCTTCTAATGCAGAAATTTTGCTCAGAGATGGCGTCACGCTACAAACACCCATTTCTACTAGCAACGAACTGTACTGGTAAAAAATTCGCAACTTCTAATGAAAAGGGAAAAAGTTCTGCAGAACTGGCTGTTTCTTAACTGATACAAAACTAACAGTGAAAAGACGAAGAAAGTTGAATAAAGCATTCTCCTAATTCCTTGTTTTAATGCAAAAAATTCAATACCGATTATTAAGTATCAGTCGCCAGTACTGTATGACACAAAGCCTTGCCACTCTTTTAGATTTTATTGCGGTTAACTGCGCCCATTCTAAATATGCAGTTTTTTACGGTTAACATACCTTTACTTTTTACTATAAGCTTTCAATTCCAAATGCTTCATTTGCAATAATTTCAAGCTTATTCATATGTCTCTTGTTAACTTTCTAACAATTTGATGCTAAAGTTTTTTCCAAATTTTTTTTTTTGTCTCTCGACACAACTATCGGTAATGTCTAGCGTAATCTTCCAGATTCCCAGAATTGCCGTCAAAATACGCAGTCGTAAACAGCGACCGCGTATTTTGACTGCAATTCTAGGAATCCAGAACATTTAATTTTACTGAGTGTACATCCTTCCTTACACAGTCTTCATATTCTTTGACCATTTTCTGGTCTGCTAAAAAACAGCCACATAATCTTTAAACTTGCACTTATGAATCGTCCTTTGTACCTTTAAGCTTTGAAAAAGTGACGAAAAAGGGTGACATCAAAAAAGTATCAAAAAAGCAGTGCTATAAACGTGTAGATGGCTGACTAAAAAAAAAATTCGACTTTTTCTATTGCCCAGAAAAATTAAAGGAAGATTTTGGTTTACGTTAAAAGTGACGGTGTGTCTTGTAAAATCTCTATACTACATCTATTCATAATAAAATGTAACCTGTTTTTGAAAACTCTACTGCTTGCTGTTTGTTCGCTAAACCTAGTAGAAAAGAATAAAAATGTTTTCAGCAAATTTTTCTATCTTTTCTTTTAACAGCTTTCCTCTGTTCAATAGAAGAACCTTACACTTTAAGCTTTTTTCCCTTTTTTTGTAAGAAGAGTTTAATGGTTTGAACTGGAGTCTAAATTAGATCGACGAACAGCATAAAGACAACATTCGATAAAAGATTTTTTGATATTAACAAACAAATTCATCTTTGCCGTTCCGCTGCCAGCACCTACTGAAAAAGGCAGAAGCTCACCAAAGAGTCAATATCGAATAATATTATGTCATAACTCGCCGAAAAGGCAAACGATTCAAACTATCACAGATCAAAACTACCCGTTAATACAAGATATTAGTGCGTAGTTCGAAAACAGCATTGGTGAAGAATTGATCACACAATTATTAATACAGTTGAGAAAGATTTAAAAATTTTCCCGTAGCTGCTGGTCGAAGAAACTGCGCTAAAGTCACCAACTGTTGCTTTACCTGATTCACATCAATAAGCATTGTTTTTAAACCACTCGGAAATATCCTCTCCACGAGTTAGCCGCGGACCAGGTAAATCACCGTATGGTTTTTCGTTAAAACTAGCAATATCTTCTTGGGCTCGTTCTCTAACTTTTTGGTACAGACAAAAATATGCAGCTGGTTCGTAGTCCAGGTAAAATTTATGCGCAACCAGTTGTGGTCGTTGCAGAAGTGAGGGAACGTCCCCCACACCAAAGGCGCAGGAAGCAGAGACGTATTTTCCTGAAAGCCAACATTCTATTTCGGAAAGAACTGTTTAAAATTGCTATATAAACAGAGAAAGAAATAAGATTCACAAGCCGTTTCTAATAGACGTGATTTCTTAAAATAAACAGCAAAGAAGTTCCAAACCTTTACAGTTTTTCCACTGATTGGAAATCCAAGACTGATAACGAGAAATGTAGAAAGGCACAGCAGTAAGGTTTTCTGGTTTACCTTTTTGAGTCTGAAGGAATTTTTCTAGCTTTAAGAGCATATAACTTGCATCAAAACTGTACGGTGCTGGCACCACTAAAAAAAATAAATTAGAGGTTTGCGATATGGCGCAGAACAAAGTTTGAAGTCAAAATAATGCGAGAAAAGAACAATAGTAAGAACCATTTTTGTTTCCGATCAACGTAGTCCAAAAAGATTCATCTGGACAAAAGGTGCCGTTGAGGAAAGACAATAACGCCATTGCTTCTCTAGAACTGGCTAAAAATTCTGCTGTTTCTCGACTAAATGTGGCAGACAGACTAGATTTGAATAACTTTAGTTTATAAGGTGGATGCATATTCTGTAAGCATAATCGATTATGTATACTAGATTAATAGTGAAGTAAACAAATTTTTTGTAAAGTAAAAAACTTTAAACAACTTGTTTCTAAGCTTAGTACCGATTTGTTCCGTAATCGGTCGAGCTGAAAAGCTTTAACTTCACCATTAAATGAACCGTTTAGCTGCTTGAAAATTCGCACCATTTGATGGTTTGTTTTTAGTGGAAGGTCAAAACCTGTCAGATACTGCAAGTATTGATTGTTTTCAGTTTAGTTCATTTTCGTCACTGGGATTCTAGAGCACAGTCTCAAAAGAACTGCAATTTAGAAAAAGCTTTATATGCAGACTTGGTAGCTATGAGTACAAAAATGGCTGCATCTAACTGTGTAGAAGGAGCAGTGTTTACCTTAGGATAAATAGTTTTTTCGTCTAGCAAACAGCTACGCAAACCCTATCGTAAAAGCAAGATATTTTTATCCAGAAACAGACGTAATAGTGAAAATACTTAACTACCAATTGATCCAACAAATCTTACTTAAATTTCTAAAGAATTTGCTGCGTCTTCTATTTTTAACGTTCCTTGTTTTCTTATCATCTAGAAAATGAAAAACAAGACTTTTTACAGAAAGCATGTGGCAAATGTGAAAAAATACTTGATAATATTTCCATTTACTCGGCAACGATGTCAGATAGCGAAGGCAAAGGTGAACTGCCCAAATGACTGAATGACCACAATATGAGACGGCAGGAACTTCCTAACGAAAAGAGATAATCAAACGTACAGAGCAGGTGCGATATATGTTAAACACTTTTGCATCAAGCACTTGGGCTAATGGCAATTTTTTAAACTATCACAGTCTGTGTATTGAAATACTGAAATAAACCGTTTTGAAAAAGAAAAAGATTTTCTGCCAAAAAACAGTGCTTTTTGTATTAAACGATTTACCATAACATGAATATTTGGGAAACACTGAGCAAGATAGCCGACGTTTCTCTTGAAAGCTCGATCACTTTTGTTATCAATACCGATACAATACTGGTTCTGCGGTTGATAAAAAGCACTTACTGTGTAGTAGACCTGAAATGTTGTGTTCACAACTACCGTAAAAAAGTCTACTATAAAATGAAACGAAAGTGACGGTCGTGTAAATCACTTGGTCTGTCCACTTATAGACAAGCATTCCGTACGCGAGCGGGTACTTTTCTTCTTCTTCGGAAAGTGGCATAAGGTTAAATCCAAAAAAAGAGATAATTTTTTGGCATCTGAAACATTTGTAACAAATTCAGACGACAAGTACAAATCAAATATGTGAGCAGTTTTCTAATTTAAGCATGGGGCTGCCATTCCAATTCAGGTGTTTTCACTGCCCTGCTTTGTAAGTAAATTGAGTGGAAATTTCACAATAGTATGCAGTTTCAAAACCATTCAAAACCTTTCAGATTCTTTAACTTTGGCAAGAAACATTTTGTCATCCATTATTTCATAGCTCCAGTTTTGAGCACGTTTGATAATAACTTTGGAAGCGTTTAACGACGAGATCTGTTCACAGTTTAAATTGCTATAGTTTGGGATATTTTTATAACTGTTTAAATAAGTAAATTTTACATCTAGTTCCTGACTCGTCATTACTGCGTACCTGAAAACTTACACATCACAGCGTCGCAGTATGCGTCTTTTGTTATTTTTATATGAGAACCCTGCCAACAGTAAATGAATTTTTTAATTTGATAAGACACTGGATAGCAAGAAAAGATAGTTGTAAACTGAAAAAGATTGGCATTTTTTATAAGAGTGAAGAAAACTGTATTATTGTTGTAGTTTGTCTGTTAAGTTATTGATATACCTTTGCGAAGAGTCATAAAATAGTTTCAGTGGGTACACGACTAGAAAGTAGATCCCAAGACAGCATGAAACTTTAGTAATAATTTTGTATTTTCGGTGCATTTAATATCTGAAAATGTTTATGAAACCATTATAGTTTCGATGTAACAATCAAACTTATAAAACTAGTCAGGAGGAGCAGTTCGACAGCACCGATTTTTACAGAAAATTTCTGGTGGAAGAGTAAATTAGATAACGTGCTAGCTTCGTTTTAAGCCTAAATCTCAGCACAATGAATGAGATAACCTCTTTTCACTTAGAATTCGTTCAACTTGTCGTTAAAGAATAAGGAAAGCTTTTACAAGTGCAACTACAAAACAACAGCAGATGCAAGAACTGTTGACGTTAAAGAGTTCTGAAACTAATTGACAATAAAATCTGATTTTCCAACTTCAACTAGAGATTGCAACTTCTGGCACGTTAAAAATCTGGAAATTCGCATCTAAAGAGACGAATTACACTACGGTTTTATCGAGGTTCTGCTTGTAATTTAGTTCATTATAGTTTCTTCATCAGACCAGAATACAAATTTTAACCAACATTCTTTAAAAATGTAAATAACAAGAGTGAAATACAGTTAATATAATACTTACTTCTTAGCGTTAGGTTTGACTGAAAGAATTAAGTTTAGCAAGTAGTTAACAAAGGCAGCTATGCTTGAAAACAAGCGAACAGTGTTAAAAAAGGGTTACTAAACGACTGGTTTAAATCGGTTGTCTTTAAAACACTTTGTTAGAATAAATTAATATGTAAATGGAAAAAGAAACAATTGTCATAGTTGGCTTTTACGTCACAAACAGAAAGTGATAAGTGTAAGCGCAAAATGATAATGACGATGTTTAAGGTAGCATTTATAATGTAGTTGGAAATAAAAAAAAACAATCAAAGGTGGAAATTTTTTTCCATCTGACGGGTAAATAAATGTCTTACTCTTCAAAGCAGTTTCTCTCATACCAAATATATACTTAAAAAGTACTGCAAATATAGCTAAAATAAAGGAAATTTAACAAGATTCAATATTTTTTGTTTGACAAAAATAAAAGTTTTAGTTTTAGAATTGAAATACATCAAAAATTTTTTTCAATCTAAATATCAAACGTGTAATTATCGGTAAATTCAAAAAGGCTTCTAGAAGTTCAATAAATCTTCTGAACAGCTCAATTCATTTACCTTGATTGTTCTTTTCTTTTTTTCTTTTTTTTTCTTTTTTTTTTTTGATTTTAGAATTATTGAGAGATTTGTGCAACTAGTATCTCAACAAAAGTCGTACGCAAAAAAAAGTCAGCTAAATGAAGCAAAAGCTGACAAATATTTTGTAGTATCAGTCAAACAACGGTAGACAGTTCTCGACACTGATGCGGTCAAACGAGTCTGGCTTGCCAATATTAATGGTTTATTTATAATTGAATTTTTTTCTTTTTTCTCAGGAAGAATTAACAGTTTTGATAGACGAATTAGATTTTTAAATTGAAAAAATTTTGACTGTTATGTTGACTGCTTTTGTAAATGTTGTTAAAATTATTAATTGCATTCTCTGTAATTGAAAGCAAACTTTGTAAAATTAAAACGCTGATTAAAAAGTATCAAAAAGGAAAAAAAAGAAAGCGTAGTGACCCAAGAAAAAAATCAGAGTTTTTGCAACTAGTCGACTAAATGAAGAAACCATTTGAGAAAACTAACTTTAATTTAAAAATTAAAGTTTTTTTAAGTTCATCTTCTTCTTCATTGCATATACTGTTTTTGAATAATAAGCGGTTTAATGTATACTGAAATAGTGAACCGGCGGACAGTGAAGCAACAAAACGGGCAGTAATCAGCAAACATTCAAAAATTATTCTTGCATTATTCAATGTTTTTTCAGTTTAATCTTTTGGATTATTGTGTTATCGAAATTTTTTTTTCAGATATACATAAGATTTCTTTTACTCTGATTACCACTTATGCTATAACAAAAAAAAAAAAAAAA